GTTACTGCTGAAGCTGTATGTGAATTCCTCATTAGAATCTTCAACCGAGAATGGTATGCAAAGGTGATTGTTTCTGATCATGGCCCATAGTTTGAATCCCGCATATTCCAGGAGTTCCTGAAGTCCAGAGGGATTTACCACCATCGGTCTCCGACATACCATCCACAAGCCAATGGTCAGGTTGAGCGCTTCAACCGAGTGCTTAAGCAGTACGTCCAAACTATCCTGCAGGAACAAACCAACGTTCGTACAGGCCTTGAGTTTCCGGGTGTCTACCGAAGTACACCACATGCAGCGACGAAGCTCTCCCCCGCTGAGCTCATCCACGGACGTAAAATGCGTACCCGTATGGACATCTGAGGCTTCCCAAGTTTTGACGAGCCCGTTCACATCGAGATGCAGCAACTCCGCCAATGCATTGCTGATTACCAGAAGCACAGCAAGCAATACACAGATGATAGGCAAAGAGCCAAACCATTTACAGCGGGTGTAGGAGATTATGTCTGAGATTATGACCGAAGGGAACACCATCATTTGACCCCTCTGAAAGAATTCATGAAGCTGTGGGGCCAAGCACCTTCTCTGCTTATTCTTCCATCTCTTTTACCTCTATCCCCCCATAGATTGGTTGATCCTTTCTTTTTACCTTCCCTCCACAATCTTTCATTTATTGATCATATTTCACACAAAGACCACCATCTCCTTCTCATTAAAATTTGCTGATGAAACCTTAAATTTTGTATGATTATTCAGAAAAAATTATGTATGAAAGGGCAAAGCCTGAGTCAGTCGAGCTGGAGTCCTATGCGAGGCTAGGGTAGCTTATGTGTCTGTGGAAGGGAATGATTGATTGAACTGGTGAGTATGGGATAGCTGGAGATGACTTCCTGAATGTAATTATTGTTTCAGAGGTTAGATGGTACTGAATTGTGGCGATTATTAATTATTAAAGGAACTCTCCAAGTGTAGGAACTATTAAACAGGCAAGAAATAAAAAGAAAGCATTATTCTAGAACATCGTTACTTATGCAACTTTACATTTTAACATTTGAAGTGTTCCTCCACCACAAAGTTTTATTATTATTACTGTTTTATATTGATTTAATCATTCAAATCTATACCACCATGTGCTTTCTTTTACATACACATTGTATGCTGAGTACAGAGTTTTGGCTGAAGCTAAGACGTGTTTTGTACACCATTTATTTGTACTAACCTTATAATTGGGAGGAAACATGTGCTTCCTCACAATAGCAACATTGCTGAAGTAGAGGTTTCAAGGAACAAATACAATTAACTTGGAAGTCTGCTTGCCAGTGGAAGGACATTTTTCTATGACATCTGTGCAGTAAAAAGCCCACAAGCGTGCTTCTAATTAAAAACGCACGCTATCCAGAATAGCGCGACCCGCAAAAGCGGTTCTTCCTACGAGAATGTGCCTTGTGGAACAGTTTGAAACTCAGAAAAGAGCTTGTACCCTGGAAGGAGGGTTTCCCCCTTCTATTTGCTGTACGGCGGGAAAGCGGCGGACCAAGTAACTCGCAAGTGCGCTTCCCCTTGCACGTATTTTCCTTGTGGGAAAGCGCAGAACCAGCAAATGTACTTGTCAGTTGCAGTAAGATGGGAAAGCAGTAGACCTAACGTTCCATAAGCGTGCTTCTCCCTTAAACACCGAGTTTTGCAGGAAAGCAAAAAACCCGCAAGTGCGCTTCACCTTACGAAGTTGTGTACTGCGAAAAAGCGACCTAGAAATACTTCTCATTTATTGCAAGAAATCCATGCGCGAATCTCATCCTCCGAAGAGCACTTATGGCAATAGGCCACATTGATTGACTGAACATGACTTTACAAATAACCAAATTACAAATTTCTCACTGGCGAAATTAAAAAAAGAAAAAATCATTGATTAGATTTAAACTGTTTTCTCAAAATAATTTTTTGAAATATAATTTCTCTGAAAATAATAAATACACTAGAATATGCAAGATCAACCAGAGACATATACTTTAGTCTGTCTGCCTGATTGTATACCTCTCTCTGCTGGTATTTGAGTTTGTATGCTTGTTCACGCACGCAGTTCTTTTGTTGACTCTACCCTTTCCCTTGTTTTGCTATACCTGAAGAACGAGCTGAAAAGTAGAGAGAGCGTTCAATCCTACAATTTACTTGTGCCTCGAAGAAGTCTTATATTTGCTCGTTATCCCCATATCAATATTACTTGATAATTATTTTACATGGAATGAAAATATAAATACACCTGAAAACAATAAAATAGTTGAGGTTCCAGTGGTAAAATTAATGTTTTTTTTTTAATATATCAAAATGTTTGATTTGAAACATCGGTATTCAAATCATACTTGGGTAGTCATTTAATTACAGTAATTAAATTACTGTAATTTAAATACTTTTCTGGTAATTTGTAATTCATCACTTCCTGCTAAAGGGAGCTGCAATTGTACTTTATTTGCTTTTTAGCATCAGTAATTACAAACTTTGAGGCACATTTACAACTACTTTTGCAAGGATTTCCGGTGCCAACCGGAAATCCTTGCATCATCAACACTGATGATGACATCAGTGACGTCACTGATGACGTCACCGACATTAGCATTGTCATCATCACTGATGATGTCATCAGCAAAGTAATTTGTAATTGCAATGAGTTATTTCTCAGGTAGTACTAATTGTAACTGTAGTTAAACTACTTTTGGAGCAAAGTAATTGTAATTAAATTACATTTTAAAAGTAATTTACCTGTATGATTAAAGCTGTGGTCTAAATCATGATTTCGATTTAAATCAACTTGATTTTTATCCTCCACCCTGTGTATACGTGTGTCAGTGCATGACCACTGCCAATCATTTCATTTGCAGCATGCGACACTGAGCCCTCAATTCTTTATACGAGGGCAATGGGGGATGGCCAAGGGATGAAGATGGGCTGAACAATTTTTTTCCAACATTTTGTTGATATACTATTAGATAACTTTGCATCCTGCAGGTGAAATTCGGTACGGTCTGCTTTTCTGGAATCGATCGGATGGACACTGAATCTATAAGTCGATTGAATCAGGATGTCCCATGCAGGAACCAAACTGTTTAATTTTTTTATTGCTAACTTACTAATATTGTAATATTGCTGCTTTTATGCTTCAAGTGTGTAGATAAGTGGGTAGCACAAATGCTCAGAAAGAGTGGCAATGTCATGTTCTTTATATAGTTGATTATAGCGGAGACAAGAGCTTCTGGAAAAGTATTTGCGACTCTGTGTAGGTGTCAATCAGGCAAAGGCAAACGCTGCCTTGTACCGCAGAGACACAAGGAATTATCTTACACCACTTTTCTTTGCAAATAATGATTTGGCAGCGCTACAGCGATAGTAGATAGTGCTGGCAAAAAAGGGCTGTCATTTGTGGCCCTCGAATTAGGAGGGTCAGCAACAGGTTTATTATAATAATCATCTTTATTTTGGTGTCATCAGTCTTTATCTTGGATGCCCCGTGGTGCACCAAAACAAACAATAAAACCAGCAAACAAAAAAAATCCTAAACACACTTATAAAGTTAACAAACAAATAAATGTAAGATTATCCAAATGGCGACGGTACATTGCAACAGATGCAGATATATAAAGGCGAGGTGGAGCGATGGCATCATATGACTGAATCCGAGAGACGTGAGGTATTCACAGTGAGCACACATAAAAGCATACAAAATGTCTGGTTACACATGAAGGAACATGAAACAGTTCTGCTCTAGTTTGCCTGTAGTTGTTTAGAAAGGCATCGGTGGACATCTTCACAGACTCCTTCTTTAAATAGGGTGGACATGCCTGCAAGAAGCAGTAACATCATTCCACATCGCATAGGCTGTAACTATTTGCTATTACCCATGTGCAATAGGTGTTCGTTGCCCGTAGTAATTACTCTGCATGTGATGTGCAGGAATTTGTGGCTCCCGTGTCGACCAAGGCAATGAATTTGTGAGCCAAATATTAATGTCTTATTATTGTCACTCCCAATAAAAGGAATTTCCTTGCATCTTGTGGAAGTGGTACCTGGGCTCCGGATCATTTGTTTCCTGCAGTATGGCACCCAGGCCCAATCCCATGCCATTCAAGAAAGAAAATTGAGACGGCACTTGCAGTTGCCTGGTAGAAAAACAGCTTTTCTACCAGGCAACTAGAACCCAGTTATCTGGTAGCTGTGATGCTTGGCCGAACAATGCAAACAAAGAAATTGTTAGCTATCTGGGCCAGCAGCCTCTGAAAAGCATTCATTTAAGGATTAGCAGGAAAATAAGAATAAAGTGTTGGTTTCAAACTTTTGGACATAAAAGGAATAGAATACTAACTCCAGACGACTACTACTTATTTCAACCAGCAACAAAATTCATCACTGTCATTGCTGGTTGAAGGAAGCAGTCCACTGTAGTTTCTTTCCATTCTTTGTGTTGGAAAGTTTTTGTATAATCTACTGATATGGCCATACATCCTTCGACAGTAAAACAAATTTTTTTGAAAATGCTGTAAACAAATGCCTCCGCAGCACACTTCCAGCTTGTCGGAGTAATGAACCACGTCTCTGCAAACTGTGGTGTTCTCAATACAATGCTAGTATCAAGCTTAATACTTTGCGACAATGCTCTCGTGTTAAGCTTTTCCTTGTTGCACCAGTACACGCGGAGAAGCACTCGTGCTCTCGCTGTAAGTTTTCCCACATCGCACCGGTGCATGTGAAAAGCACCAGCTCTTTTTTGGTAACCTTCTCCACGCTGCGGAGAAAAGCCAGTGCTCTCGCAGTTAGCTTTCGTACGTTGCTCTGGTGCACGCAGAGAAGCACCGGGCATTATTTGTGGAGTGATCAGAAAGGAAAAAAGGGGCCCATGTGCACTAGCTATTGTTGGGGCAGGATTGATATCAAATGCAGTGTGTTGATGTAACTACTAAGGTATAAGACAAATCGGCACCCCCCCAAATGTAAGTAAACAACATCAAACTCGATTTGCAATGCAGAACAGTTTATTCACATTATAACACAAAATTCCGATTCCCTCGAAGCACTTCAGACTCGGAAAGAATCATCGGACTGTGCAGCGCCTAGTTGTTGGTTTCTTCAGAGCCAATTTACACAAGTAGCAACTTGCTCAGTTTTCAAGGGGCCTTGTTTTTGGAGCCTTCTTGTTACCAGATGTGAGGCCCACAAACTTTTTGCTATAATTTCCCCAGCCTCTTAGAAAGACTATGTCGTCAGATTAACAAAACTTTGCTGGAAAAGTCGGAGAATTCTGAAGAGACAACATGGCGCGGTCAATAGGGCACCCTTGATGGTCCAGCCGTCCCACGAGAGGGTCCCTGGCATTGCCTCCTTGTGGTCCTGCTGGATCTTGGCCCTGGCCATCTTCTCCAGGATGCTCCATACTTGCTGGCCCATGAACCCAGCGAGGACCTGCACACGGTACTTGACATTAGCACCAAAGCTGATTGTCAGCTGCAGTCACCTCACTCGTTCAAATTGTTAAAGATGTTGCCTTGAAGATTTCACAGAAAAGGTGCTGCGCCTTTAGCTTTACATACAAGGCACCTATGCCAAAATGTCTAACTGGGACCGGTTGGCATCTCGACTGGTTACAACTGGAACTAACTGGTCCCAAGTTGGAATTGGCTGTTATCAATAGGAGTGCAACTGGGACTAGCTGAGGGGTCAACTGGCTTGACTATGCCCAGATGGGGAACGGGTAGGGGTAACTGGGACCAGTTAAGGAGTTAACTGGTTGGAGGGATTCCCAGGGGAAGTTTCAATTGTTTTCCCATTCCCTGTTAGGGTTCACATGCCGTGTCCATTTCGACAAGATGGGGGTGTATTGATCTTTGCTAGTGAAGGAAAAAAAACTTAAATATATAGATTTACAGAAATGGATAAACCTTTAATTACTAGGTATACATTTATGTATTTAAAAAAATATGCCAAATTTTAATGTACATATCCTTTTATAAATTGCAATATAATTAGTGGCATAAAAAATATTTACTTAAATCAACATTTATGTACATGTATAAAATGTATTAAACATTGAAGCAAAGACCTACTCCCTTTTTTTTTTAAATCGGACCCAGCAGGCCGTTGTGACACGCATACGGATTAGTTTTGCGTGTTGTCGACAGATGGCACATGTGACGCAGTGAAAAATCACCAATCATGATTTTTAACGATGATGAAGTTGAGAGGCTGAAGGTACAGAATATTACAGTTGAGAAAGCTAGTAAATACAAGTACCTAGGAGCATGGATATGTGATGGTGCAGAATATCTCAGTGAGCATGAAAAGTATATAATAGGTAAGGGCAACAGAAATGCAGCTGTAATGAAAAATAGAGCACTTTGAAATTACAACAGGTATGAGGTGGTGAGAGAGATTTGGAAAGGGGTCATGGTGCCTGGCTTGACTTTTGGAAATGCAGTGCTATGTGTGAAATCCGAAGTGCATGCGAGACTAGAAATAAAACAGTGCAGAGTAGGTAGGCTGGCTTTGGGGACACATTGCAAAACACCAAACCAGGGAGCTAGTACAAGGAGACATGGGATGGGCGTCATCTGAGAGCAGGGAAGCGGTGAGCAAGATAGAATTTGAGGATTGGTTGAGGCAAATGGATGGGTGGCAATGGGCACAAAAGGTTTTCAGCTATTTATACATGAGGAGTATAGATACAAACTGGAGACAGTGCACTAGGGAGTTAGGAGGACAGTTTTTAAGGCTAAGTGGACTTAGGAAGAGCAGGTGTCAGTTAAGGCCACAGAAAGAGATTGGTGGCTAGAGAGAATGCAGACAAAGACGGCTCTGGAAAACTATAAATTAAACAAAACAGTTATTGCCAAAGAAAGCATTTATGACCAATCTAGGGGAAGCTCATTGTTGTTCGAGGCGAGGACGGGTGTACTGCAAACCAGAACACACAGAGCGAAGTACCAGGAAATGGATACAGTGTGCACTGCTTGTGGAGAGGAGGACGAGACGGCTGAGCACTTGATACTTGATACGAAGAGAACATAGATTTAATAAAGTCATTGGGTTTTAGGAACAGCGAAGGAACAGTGGATTTCAAGACAGTAGAGATTACCAAGCAAATATTAAGTGAATGGTGGCAGAAGGCAAGAGAAAACTAGATATTTTCTTATTAACTGATGGCAAGGGTGTTTTATAGCCTCACTTTCTTTGCAGTGCGGAGTGAATATAGCTTTCACCTTTAAATATTCTAAGCTTAAATGGTAAAACAGAATGGCTAGCTGGCGTAAGCTACCGCCCGATCCAAAGGGCTCAGCCGGATTCATCCATCCGTCCATCCAGTGGTCGGTAGAGAAGGGAAACCATCGCCAAAGTTGGTGTATTGATAAACGTGTCGTTATGAAAATGTCAAAACCATATCTGCGCTTCTTGCGACCCAACGGTGAACTTCGAGGGCAGAAAGATGCAGTTCAACGACCGGAGGGCACCCAGGGAGAAACCAGACGGAAGAGAAAACAGCCGCGGAGAGCACAATGGTAAAAATGGCGGAAAGTCTACCCGAACTGGCAGCTGTTGTGACACAAGCAATTGGAATTGTTTGATTGTAAGGTGGGAGCGCAACCGCATCCTATCAGGACTTCACCTGCGCAACGCGGAAACACGGGTGAGCACCTTTCTTCACGCGATGGAGAGAAGCTAGGGACGTCGTCACGGATGCTGACAGACGCCAGCGGCTAATCTTTCACCTCGCACAAATACTCGCTCTGAAAGGGCGATTCAATCGTCGCAATTAGCTAACGAGGCAACTGAAGCGGTCCTTAGAGCTACGCTGTGCTTCCTTCAATCCGGAAACGTGAACGTCACCGAACCTATTTATTTTCATTCTCGGTTTTTGACAATAAAGACTGGTCAACCTTCCAAGTTGTGCCGTGTTTCGTTGCTGGAGTTGGCACCGTTCTGTCAACCAGTTGAATCCAACCAGTAATTTAGCTCGCCACGTGCGCAGGTCAATTTTCAGTTCCCCTTTTTTACGGTGAGCCTTGCAATCGTAGCCGCCCTATATTCGCGCTCTTTAGTGCAGCGACTTAACGCACGTGTGCATACCTTGTTGCCGATCCGGTTTGGGTGGACGCCGTCGCGGTGGATCCACTGGTGCCACTCGTCAGCTAGCCCGTCAAGGAACGTGAACCCTTCCCTGCGACACAACTCTCGCAGCAGCGAGTTCACCTCTCGGTAACGGTCATTCGAAGCCTCGATCTCTGCAGCGTGACTACGCTGCCATTCCAATGAGCAGAACCTATTCTCCCGTCTCGGAAGAACGACAGAAAAGGCGATCTGCATCATTGGATTGCGTTCACAGATCTGGGCAGCTAGACGACGATATTTGTCGATGTACACGCTGGCACTAATATGGGAATTATTAGTGCCAACGTGTAGGATGACATCAAAATCGGGTAGCTTCTCAGACACCTGGGAAAACAAGTGCTCGATTCTAATACCACTAAACGGCGCAACCTCAACAGCCAACCGACTATTCAATGGCAAGTACTTCACCATCGAATCGCCGGCTACCAAAACTCGAGGCACGTTGGGGGTGCGATCAAAGCCAAAATACAAAGAGTAGCACTAGATACGGAAAAATGTATTGCTAAAAAGAACAAGACAATGCTAAACAAAACGCTTCAAAGAGTGCGAAAAATCAGTCAAAATAGCTTGCGTGACCGGAGCCGACAGCAGCGCGGCCAGGACCCGACCACAGAAGACTACAGCGGCAGACGCACATGGTCGGCCACATGTCATAACAAAGGCAACATCCGGGGCCGGGGATGATACGTTACTTCCGGCGTCGAAGGAACGATTTCCACACAGCCGTCTTTCCTCCGACGCGACTACGTCACTTCCGGCGTCGGAGGAACGATTTGCACACAGGGCCCACTCCTCCGACGCCCGTCGGAGGAAGCACTTTCAAAAATCGATGATCTACGAACTTTTGAACTTCTTGCACTAAGAGCTCGAAGCTTTTCAAACTTTTGACCTTCCTACGCTAAGAAATCCAACAATTTTCTAACTTTCGACCTTTTTACGCTAAGAAATCCTACAATTTTCTAACCTTCGACCGGAATTCGAAAATGGTCGAACTTTGATTCCTGAAAAGACAAAAGTTCGACGAACTTTGACCTTTTCCAATAAAAGTTTGAAGTTCGTCGAACCTCGAAAGACTAGCGGGCGGTTTCATTTGGATTCAAGCGGTGAGGTACATTCGTAAACATTTTAGTGAAAACCCGAGACTCAGGTAAAACAGACGACGAGAAGGAAGAGAAGAGAACGTCCTTCTCTTCAGACGCTTCCTTCTCTTCCTTGTCGTCGTCTGTTTTACCTCAGTCTCGGGTTTTCACTGAAATGTTTAATATACACCAGCTCACCTGCGCCCTTACGTTCTGCTCATTAGTACATTCGTAATTTTTTTTTTCGCATTTTTACATGCGGTGTTGCATTCCTTGCGAAAGACAATGCGTTTATTTCAATCATAGCTGGCATGCTTGGTTTTAAAGAAATAGATACCCGAAGGAGCGAGGAAGGACGCCGAGCAAATGCTCGCCTGGCTGGCGAGCATTTGCTCGGCAGCAACTGTCGAGTCACGCTGGGACAGATCGACAGTTGCTGCCTCAATGTAGCTAAAACAATTGTGTGCGGCGCTTTGCAGCAGATTTGTGCGCGCGTGCACAGCTAAGCAGAGAGCACATCATTTACTCTGGTGAATGCAAAGCCTTTTTCTACAGCAGCCTCCACAGATCCGAGAAAAAACGAACCAGAAAGGCCAAAATAGCGCTGGCGCACGCCGCGCAAGCTGTAATGTGAAGCTGCAGGCTTGTTCTTGAACATTTTCAAGTTTTTCTGACATAAAAAGCCACTTCGAGGCTCTGTTGTTCATTACACAGCTCACTCACAAAAACTTTATACGCATTTCTTTAATAAATAAACCGTTTTTAACCGATGCGAATTAACATAGCCAATCCGTGCTTTGACGTAGCGCGTCGTCTGCTCGCGTACTACCCGCTCCGTCACAGGAGAGCGCCCACGAGGTGGCGCCTGCAAGTTTTAATACAATACAGCAGCAGGGGGGTAAAGGTGAGTGAGGAGGAGTGGCAAATCCTGTGCGCCGACACCCGGGGTCCCGAGTGAAAGATCGCGAAAGAGGGCGACAGAACACGAGAGAAAGAAAGCAACGTTGCCAGCTGAAGGACGACAGTCGCAATGGTAAACGCAAAGACTGAAAACTCTCAGCAATATCAACAGTGATAATTTAACGTTGCAAACTAAATTCTGAGCTATTTTAAGGTTTATAAAAAGCAGCATATTCATTACGCTGCAATAACTTCCCTTCTGTCGAAATCTCGGAAATCTGACAGTTGCGCGGTTTTGTATTCCTCAACCGCGCCCACCGGCGAAGCCGGGTATTTGGTTTAGTTTAGCGTTGACGCGAGGCCGTACGTCTGCGCGCTATTCAAAAAGAAAGCTTCGAAAGGAACGCGAATATCTTTCCACCGGTAAGTGCGTGGATTGTTGAAGTTCATGACACTGCTCTGATGATATATTTGTGAAATCAAAGGCAGTTGGTAACCATGTGGGACCCCGAGGGTCTGCCTGCATGCCATTGCATGGGAAAATGGCGGACCTTTTCCTTAGAGTTAGTATGTATGATATTTTGCCAGGGAGCGCCACCGTCGATCCGCCATCTTCGAGGTCGCGGCAACTAGGGGTGTCGCGAACTTTTGTCGAACCAGATTTTTTGGTCGAACTTCCGGGGTTCGACTGAGTCGAACCCCGGAAGTTCGACTCAGTCGTCGAACCGGTTCGACAAACCTTCGAACCTTTCACCACATTCGACCGGTTCGACTTTATGGACAGTGTGACCAGACCTTAATACAAGCATGTCTAAGTTTGGAGAATTTTTTTTTTATGCAAGGGGTTATTTTATTTTGTGAACAGCTGCAATTAAAATAAACTAATTCTAATCACTGAAGAGGTTAATAACTTAATTTTTAGCACTGTATTGACTGAAATAGCCAATCAGCGCTGCACTTAATTCATCTCTTAGCCATTACCATCCAATCCGAAGCCAACTGGCCAGCCTGTCGCGCATGCGCACATGAGTCGAACCTCAATACAAGGTTCGTCGAACTTTCCACTAAAAGTTCGAAAAAGTCGATCCTGGTCGAACTCGAACCGCGACCGGTTCGCGACACCCCTAGCGGCAACCCCCGGTCCAAGGATAGAGTGGAATACTTGGGTAGTGTTGGGACCGAAGGGGCTCGCCTGAAGCGCGTGGTATTGATCGCGACAGGTGTCGCGTCCGGCGCCTTATCCGGAAGGTGTGCGCATGCGCGGCTGCGCGCGCGAAAATATGAATCTTTGGTGCCGCTTTGGTTGAGTGCACGTAGGATTTCTGATACAGCTACGACCGGCCAGCGGTCGTACCGCGGCATCAATTACGCTGCGGCACGATCGTTAGCAACATGATGCTTCAATGTATTGGACGGTACAAACTACATTACCCTTCCTTTACATAAAAACAATTGCGACTTTAAAGAAGCGGTTTCGGTTTGTCGGATGGTGAGCATTTTAAATGAAATGTCCATTTCCTTGGTCGAACCTCAATACAAGGTTCGTCGAACTTTCCACTACAAGTTCGAAAAAGTCGAACCTGGTCGAACTCGAACCGCGGCCGGTTCGCGAGACCCCTAGTTAGAAGTACTAGGAGGGGATTGCAGAAGGGTTTGGATTTGGGCTAGTTGGTTGAACATGTTTAGGGGTTAAAAGCGCTAAAAACGACGGACGAGTAGGAGAGACACACACCACAGAGCGCTACTTGCAACTGGTTTATTATTGGACAAACTACACGTACCGCGAAACCAACAAGACAATATCCGATTCAGTTCCAAAACCGTCACTAATCACACTTCTTACTCTTACACCATGCATGATCGTAAAAAAAAAATGAAAGCCGCTTACAACTCCCTGTAACGCCGAATTGGAGCGCAGCTCTTGAGGAGGAGGAGGGAAGGGCACTGGGGGGGGGGGGGGGTTAAACTAACCAGGGGGGGGTCACGTGACCCCCAATGCCGATGATGTCATCACTGACGTCACTGATGACGTCATCAGTGACGATGACGATGCGGGTACCGATGACGTCATTAGTGACGTCACTGATGACTTCACCAGTGATGATGATGACGATGCGATTGTCGGTGACGTCATCAGTGACGTCGCTGATGACGTCATCAGTGATGATGACGATGACGATGCCGGTGACGACATCAGTGACGTCACTGATGACGTCATCAGTGATGATGACGATGACGATGACGATGCGGATGTCGGTAACGTCATCAGTGATGATGACGATGACGATGCGGATGCCGGTGACGTCATCAGTGATGATGACGATGACGATGTGGATGCCGGTGACGTCATCAGTGATGATGACGATGACGATGTGGATGCTGGTGACGTCATCAGTGATGATGACGATGACGATGTGGATGCCGGTGACGTCATCAGTGATGATGACGATGTGGATGCCGATGACGTCATCAGTGATGATGACGATGACAATATGGATGCCGGTGACGTCATCAGTGATGATGACGATGACGATGTGGATGCCGGTGACGTCATCAGTGATGATGACGATGACGATGTGGATGCCGGTGACGTCATCAGTGATGATGACGATGACGATGTGGATGCTGGTGACGTCATCAGTGATGATGACGATGACGATGCGGATGCCGGTGACGTCATCAGTGATGATGACGATGACGATGTGGATACCGGTGACGTCATCAGTGATGATGACGATGACGATGTGGATGCCGATGACGACATCAGTGATGATGACGATGACGATGTGGATGCCGATGACGTCATCAGTGATGATGACGATGACGATGTGGATGCCGGTGACGTCATCAGTGACGATGACGTCATCGGGGGGTCACGCGACATCGGCGGGGGTCACGTGACCTCGAGGAGGGGGTCACGTGACCTCAGGGGAGTCACGTGACTTCGGGGGGTCACGTGACCCCCCACGAGGTCACGTGACCCCGGTGGGGGGCTCGCGCGGTGCATTATGGGACATTTCCCATGATGCACCGCGCGGTTACGCCGACGGCGACGGCGACGGCGACGGCGACGCCGCTCAAGCCGGAAACGGGCCCCTAAGAGCTGCGCTCTAAAACGATAACTCAGATTCAAACAGGGTTATCGATGGGGCACTTACACACGTACCCTCGTCACACTCGGAAATAAAGAACGCTTCCGTTATCTCCCTTGTCTTTCTATTTTTGTTTCGTGCCAAGATGACGGTGTTGTCTAAATAGGGTAAACACTCACACCTACTTGCAATGTACTGCGAGATTGCCAGAGGGGGCTGACCTCAATGACAGGGCATGTTCCCTCTGTTAATAAGTTGTACCACACTCCCACATAGCTTGCTTAATTTCTGTGGAGCTGAAAGGAGAACCGAAATGCCATGCTTTTCCCCCACCTTTTTGATGTTATGGCTAACGTTATGTATATACGGTATCACCACTGGTCTTTTATCTGGCTTGCCCCTCTCTTCCCTCTTCCCTCCTCCACGAAACCTTTTTAGCAAGCCCTCTAGTCTACCACCCCCTTGATGATCTCACAGGGAAAGCCTCCCTCCTCCAGTCTCCTCACTTGTAACCCGAAGCTTTCGGCTACGCTGTGCTGACAGGACTTCGTTAAGGCCGCGTTCAGGCAGGTTGTGGCGATCCCCCTCTTGATAATCTTGGAGTGGTTCGAGTCATAGAGCAAAACACCTTTTTTCGCCCTAGGACAGTAAGTCCAACATACATGCGACGGGAGAAGGGCCAACTTCAGATCTAAAAACTGCAAACCACCCTCCACCGGGTTCTCACTTGTGAAATTCAAGCCCGAGGCGCTAGTTCTGAAAATCTCCAACATGTCTGACACAAACACTGCAAAGAGCTATCGTGCGGCAGCTTGGCGGCAATCGGGTGTGCCTTGCGGGGTAAACCTGGAAATGGTGTAAGTTTGATTGTTCACGTTGGTGATGACTTAGGTGAAGTTGTTTTGAAGGTGTGAATAGCTTTGAAGCTTGTTATTGTAACTTTCTCTTTCACTCTTTCAACGTGTCTGGGCGCGCTTTCTCTCTCTCTGAAGTCGCGCCTCTC